TGTCGGGTTTCCAGTGAAAAGAGTGTGTAGCAGTATATCTACAATTAAACAATCATGATGCTTCTCCAGCTTAGGCGTTAAATTCCACAAAATATATACAAATGGGGACAGATGGGACTTTGTATGGAGTCCACTAATATATTAGATTTCCTTCTCATATAAAATTACCCAAAGAACTGTCTTCGATTGACATGGAAACGATAAATCGCTGAACGTCATATCTGTTGGCAATAACTTGCTAGTGCTGAAGGCATCAATTTCAATTTGTACATTTGCAAACCAATCAAATCCCTTCAAACGTTAACGGGTAGTTGTTGTCTCTGTACGGAGTTGAAGAGTCAACACCGTACCTTCTTCAGTATGTTGCGTGTTCTTTGTGTTTGTGGAATCTCACCTGTTACAAGAGGCCGCGCTTTGATTACCAGAGTTGGGGTACAACTTGATGCAGGTCTTTTTCTGAATGATCTTGGACACTAATTCATCCATATTTTTTGTTTTTCAAATTCAAAAAGTACAAGGAATATGCTAGTCTTGAAAACTCTAAGTCACCGATCTGAACACATCTTTATGAACTGACTGTATGAAAATTTCGTGTCGGAAAGAACTGTTACATGTCTTTTCCAAAAGTGGTTACATTTCGGTAGCATCACACTACCTATGAAACGCAAAATGTACTTCTAAAACATTCTGTTCCAACGCGACTTTATTGTCGATTGTGGTTGCCACATGACTTGCTGACATAATTTTAATATAAAGTTGATTGTTTGGTTGGTTTGTTGTTAAGCAAAAGCTATACAATGGGTTATCTGTTTTCTACCCACCACAGGTATCGTAACCCGATTTTTAGCGTTATAAGCAGGCAGACTTGCCGCTGAGCCACTGAAGGGCTTGATATAAGGTGCGTAAACTTCTATATATATCGCGACTACTTTCGGTTGTAAACCGACGTCAAGTAGATGCAGTTTGTTTGTTTGTTTGTTTTTGAATTTTTGCACAAAGCTTCACGAGGGCCATCTGCGCTAGCCGTCCCTAATTTAGCAGTGTAAGACTTGAGGGAAGGCAGCTAGTCATCACCACCTACCCCCAACTCTTAGGCTACTTTTTTACCAAAGAATAGTGGGATTGACCATCACATTATAACGCCCTCACGGCTGAAAGGGCGAGCATGTTGGTGTGACGGGGATTCGAACCCACGACCCGTAGATTGCGAGTCGAACGCCCTAACCACCTGGCCATGCCGGGCCTGTAGATGCAGCTATGCCTAATAAAACTATTCAAAACTATATAAATATTCAAAATGCCTGAACACATAAAAACAAAAACGTGACCCTTTAAAAATATACAACATGGCTCGAATGCTACAAACAATGGCGTTTTCAGCAAATCGGAGAAGCGTAGGACATGAGAACAAAATTATATGTTTTTAAACATATATATATATATTTTTAATTAAATTGTACAATATTAAGTTTAAAAAATCATTATAGGTAAAATGGAAAATAAGTATTATTATAAAACGCGCGGGTTTATCAGAGACAAGATTATGGAGCAAGAAAATGAATTTGAAAATTTTGGTTTACGCTATGCATCAAAGCGTATAGATAACGTAATACCATCTGTTCCTTTCACTTCGGAATAATGAGTAGAACATTTTCCACAAGGTATAGATAGAAACGTTGCCAAGAATATTGCAATCAGAGATGAGAAACCTTCGTTCAATAATAGAATTATTTATCCCGTTTCTCATTAGATACCAATTATTTATCTTCTTTATTTAATGAGCTTAAATTACTCTTACTAGTAAGTTTCAGAACATACATTATACTACTGACGTGTATTAGTTTTTTCCTACTCTGAACATAGTTTTCAGCCACCTTTTAAATATTCCAATGTTCTTGTATGTTTAAGACATGTACTTCTGTTTAATTTATCTTTGTTAATTTTGTATTATATTTCGAACAAACGTAATGTATTTGGAAACTTAAAAAAATATGACTCTAATACTTACTGTTTTAGTTATGTTTATATGTATTGTCGGTCTTTAGTTTGAATCACTAAAATATACATGTTTATATGTATTGTCGGTCTTTAGTTTGAATCACTAAAATATACATGTTTATATGTATTGTTGGTCTTTAGTTTGAATCATTAAAGTATACATGTTTATATGTATTGTTGGTCTTTAGTTTGAATCATTAAAGTATACATGTTTATATATATTGTTGGTCTTTAGTTTGAATCATTAAAATATACATGTTTATATGTATTGTTGGTATTTAGTTTGAATCATTAAAGTATACATGTTTATATGTATTGTTGGTCTTTAGTTTGAATCATTAAAGTATACATGTTTATATGTATTGTTGGTCTTTAGTTTGAATCATTAAAGTATACATGTTTATATGTATTGTTGGTCTTTAGTTTGAATCATTAAAGTATACATGTTTATATGTATTGTTGGTCTTTAGTTTGAATCATTAAAGTATACATGTTTATATATATTGTTGGTCTTTAGTTTGAATTATTGAAATATACTGCTGTGATTTTCCAACAGTTTCGTTAGTATTATCGTTTTCACAGTCACGTGACTCTTGCCTTATTCTATGTTTCGATTCGAACAGTTCAATTAGATTTGGTTGTGTCGTTGTGATATGTCTAAGCCCGAATGTAGTCTGAGGGTTAATAGCACTTTATAGGAACGATATTCGTGTTATCCTTGGAACTGCTTCTTCCATCGTCGATCATGCTCAGTCTGATTACGCACAACTACCCAACACTGCAATTTCCATTGTAACAAGTTTCTGCAGAGGACAATACATCAGTCTTAGCCTATACATCCTGACAAATTTTCCACAGGCCTTCTACTGTACGTGAGCGTCAGCTATCAAGACTACGTTTAAGCAGATCTAAAGCACAGAACTTCATTGCGCTGCTTTGAGGATTTTGCACGTGTGTGATTGAATGATGTTGCTGGGATTTCGGTTTCTTCTCCTTTCTTTTTCTTAAAAACAGCCGTTGGTTTCGAAGTATCGCTGGAAACTTATGAACTTTTGGCTCGTGAGTATTCGTCAACTTCAATTTTTTTGTTTTTTATATCGTTAACTGTGCCAGAGGGTCTCTCCATATTCATCATGATCTTTTTTTTGTTTGATCGGAAGGTTCTCTTTCGCAAGCGTAGCTTCACTTTGGGGATGAGGGTATTTCACAGTATTTGCTTGTGCTATAGTTTTAGAACTCGTTGCTGTCATAAGTCCTCCACTATGTGAGATTTTTCGTTCTTGTGGAAAATACCGAAGTCGCCTTTCTTCGAAATATTGTATCCTTTAGCTCTATGTTCTTTAACACTTTATTCATATAAATATTGTATCCTTTAGCTCTATGTTCTTTAACACTTTATTCATATAAATATTGTATCCTTTAGCTCTATGTTCTTTAACACGTTATTCATATAAATACTGTACCCTTTAGCTCTATGTTCTTTAATACTTTATTCATATAAATATACTTCACCGTAAAGGGCGGTGAGATTATTTGCTTCCAGCCACATGTGTACAATTGCGGCATTGCATTGATACAACTAACTATAAAGGTACTAATTACTAAACATGTTGCCCGTGGCATCACTTCTCACATATTGGGCATCATATCACTGTATTATCATACGCAAATCGTTCTTAAAAACATGTAATTAACCCTAAGTATATATATATTCAAACAACAATTATATTGCGTTAATAAAGTTTATTACCCTAAAAACACAACACGACTAGTTTTGACGATAGGCTTACATTAATTGAATACGTCTTGTATTTTGGTGGAAAAAAAATTATTATTATTTATTTTTTAAACAACTTCAAGAATATACGAGATTTGATATTTGTAGAAAAGATAAAGTAAAGAAATTTCAGAGCTCGCTAGATGGAGTACTTATTTTAAATATCAAAAATTACAAATAAATTGCATGGTAACTTCCATCCATCTATAAAAAAAATTACATTAATCGTCATAAAAGTTTAACTTTATTGAGTTAGAGACCATGTTAGTATAGTATTTAAGAGCGGTTTTCATCCCTGATAAAAATACTTTCAGTTATGTTTTTATCAACAGAGTTAAAAATCTTTGAAGCTATTTTTGTTGTAAAATGAATATTAAGAATAGATACAGAATGGTAAAACCCTATAACCCGAGCTATTTCCATAGGTGGACCTTTCTTCTTTAGGGGCAAAATTCAGTTTGCCTCTGAAGAAGAAAGATCGACCTTTCGAAAGCGCTCGAGTTATAGGGTTTTTACATGTTGTATCGAGACTTCTTGAACCTACGTGTTTTTCTGACATCATGAAGGAATAGATATGGCGTAATGGTAAGAAGCGTAGTGTGAAATGAAAGGTTGATATTCATTGTTTTTTTTTGTTGTTGTTGTTTGTTTTTTTGCATCTCTCACATATTCCATGATCCTTTCCCGTATAGGTCTACGTGTTTCGGAAGTCCACACAATGTCAACAAAGGATAGTTTGTCAACAACGTTTTTTTACAGTGTATTTTACGTTATATAATAAGCTGTTTCAAATTATCTTTAAACCCAGAAATACAACACCTTGTTTAAATTATCCTATGCTTAAGTATATATATATTTTCAAGGGCTGGAAGATAATACAGTAATGTTGATTATTTATGTGACAGGACAATCAGAAGTTTACTGTATAGTGCTGATTATTTATGTGACAGGACCCTCAGAAGTTTACTATATAATGCTGATTATTTATGTGACAGGACCCTCAGAAGTTTACTATATAATGCTGATTATTTATGTGACAGGACCCTCTGAAGTTTACTATATAATGCTGATTATTTATGTGACAGGACCCTCTGAAGTTTGCTGTATAATGTTGATTATTTATGTGACAGGACCCTCTGAAGTTTGCTGTATAATGTTGCTTAGCAGTATGTTGAGAAACTTCTTTACACGCTCGTAGATACATACTTCTTTCTTATTGGTTTAGGCGGAGCACTACATTAGAGCAGAACAAGCTAACAGATCCTTTCGGCATCTTTAAGGTAATATGATTTGAATATATTTATAGAATTAGCTAGTTTGACATTATTAGCTCAATGTTTATACATATAGACGTTAAGTATATCAGTTCAGTGTCATCTAACGTATACAACTCCTTATGTGTGCTTTCCGTTACATTGTTCTGTATCATGACACTGTAAACGCTGTATCTATATGTGTGTGTTGATATATGTATAGAGGAAGGGCCTCTAATATCCGTAAATACTACATACGATTGAAACCTTAGAAGTCCCCTTTGAATTTTCCTAAATGTGGCTACAATTTATCTGTGCTTAAATCCTGAGTAGCATGATTCGCTCTGCATCAGCAAATAATCTGAACATTAATTGTGTATAAAAATGTAAATGTTTTCTTACTCAGAACTTTTAAACTTTGGCTAAAATAATGATAGCTCTGATCATTTCACTAAACTCCTTTGCACATGTTTCCTAACACGCAATTTCTGTCACAAACGTCTAATAATACATTGCGATCATGTTCATAGATTGTCTTTAGTTATAAATAACCATAGCAAAAAAGTCCATAACGCGATCATTTCGTGCACGTGGTAAAGCAGTGTGATATTCGCGGAGACATTTCCTTGTGATCATATGCATAATTTAGGAGAGAAATAAATAGTAAACAAAAGTGAAAGAAAATCTTTTGGGTGCACATAAAAAGAAACAATAAGGTAGTTAAGCAAGTAATTAGTTGTTGATAATGAAAGGAAACACTGCAAGACCGATAAGATTTGTGGCAGGCTAAAAATCACTTTAAGCAGGTTGTTGTTTCTTCGAGATATAGTTCGCAGAATGTACAGAAAACTTTCGCATTTTGTAAACAGGATGTATAAAGTCTTAGTTGGCGGAACATGACATTTACATGTGCATAATATTTATTTCTCAGTCCACCTTAACCCATGTTCATTTCAAAGAAACTGGCTGTAACTACCACTGCATACTGTCAATCTTAACCCATGTTCATTTCAAATAAGCTGGCTGTAACTACCAATGCATACTATCAATCTTAACCCATGTTCATTTCAAAGAAGCTGGCTGTAACTACCAATACATACTATCAATCTTAACCCATGTTCATTTCAAAGAAGCTGGCTGTAACCACCAGTGCATACTATCAATCTTAACCCATGTTCATTTCAAAGAAGCTGGCTGTAACTACCACTGCATACTATCAATCTTAACCCATGTTCATTCCAAAGAAGCTGGCTGTAACTATCACTGCATATGCTGATTTCATTGATGTAAATTTAGGACAAAAACTGCCTTTAATGATATCATTGGAACTCATTTGGGTACCAAAGGGAAACGAACCACAAAAGGTGGTATTAAGTATCAAAATTGAAGTAAGTGAAGTACGTTTGAAGCAAACAAACAAAAAAGACAAGAATAAAACTAACTATTTTGAGAACTTAAAAAACTTTGTGTAATGCAGGAGTCACTCTATATATAATCATTTTGTCTAAGTTTATAACCTATACCTTAATTGAATCCGAGGAAGTTATTAGTTTATTTGGTAGTGGACGGTCTAGTTATGCTTCCTTTTAATTTTCTTATTATTTAAAATTTGACCATTCTTCTGAATAAATATCCTACTACAAATTGTTAATATTAGTGCTCTAACGGTGGTAGCTCAAATGTTACGTTTAAATATACTTTAGTTAATTATATGATTACCATTTGCTGTTTAATATGTTTCACGTGAATAATATAGAAAGTGCATACCAGTGGACAGTTACCATCGTCAGTTCTAAGATCTACGAGCCCCGTGCCAATTGGGCGCAGCATCAAAACACGCAGAATATAACAAAAGCCTCATATCTTTAATGGAAAGAGGATGTTGCGAAGCCAGTGGGACAGAGAGTTGAACGCTTCGCCTTTCATCTAAATGGACTCAGACTTGTGTAGATGATAAAGGAAGCCTTTAAAAGCACACTCCCAAAGAAATATAAAGTTAGAATACCTTTTTCCAAGTTCTGTGTACATGAAAACTGAACGTCTATATCTATTAGATAATTAAAAGTGTATTTTTACGTGTGGCTGACGATGTTTGTTGAGATTAACAAACTGAAAAGTATTGTTGTCGCGACGTTTTCTGTTTACATAATGACCTTGGTCGGAACAATAGGTATGCATGTCATGGCTTGTGCCATAAGGTTAATGATCTTGTTCAACAGTTGGAATATATTAATAAAAGTTGAGTTTGGTAACTTCTACCCATGTCTTGCCAGTCTTATTGGAACAGTGGGTGCACACAGAAGACTGCGAGACTAAAAGTTGACTTTCGTAACTTCTGTCTTGTTGGCCTTATTGGAACAGTGGGTGCACACAGAAGACTACGAGACTAAAAGTTGACTTTCGTAACTTCTGTCTTGTTGGCCTTATTGGAATAGTGGGTGCACACAGAAGGCTGCAAAACTAAAAGTTGACATAAGAACATTGAAATAGTGCTTTACCCATTTAATTTAAGAATAAATAATACAGAACGTTGATTGGTTCATCGATTATTTTATTATATTGAGGATGAAGTAAATTATAGAGAGTACAATAAAATCATATATTAGCTGCTCCTCCCACATTGTTGGCTCACGGGGGCGTAGCACAGATAGCCCTTTTGTGTAGCTTTGTGCTTAAGCAACAGCATTATATATTAGCAGTTTTTTTATGGGGGGAGGACAAAAGTTTAAACCAGTAGGTTTCGGAAATATTTTTTGGCATTTTCCGATTTTTATAATTACTGATTCCAAACTTTCTAGGTGGACGTGCTCCCAAAGTAACTATGTCACTACATATTATAAAAATATAACTGCAGAAAATATAACCTGCATTTCATGGTAGTAATGATTTTGTCCATAACTTAATTACATCTTACCCTTCCAAACATGTTCTTGAAATATTAAAAACAAATTTAAAGTTGTAACCTTAACCCATCAGAAAATAACATATACACACCAAACTAGCACTTTGCCTCAATTTATATTTTTCGGTGGCAGTATATATTAATACATATGGTGCTTTTTGGAGTTCCCTATTGAATTTTTGAGGAAGTTATCTTTAGAAAATAACGACATATACTAACTCAGTTGTTTCAATGTATACTGGTTGATATTTAACTTTCATTGAAGAGCTCTTAATTTCTTTTATCTTTAAGTGTAACTATCAGGTAACATTAACGAGTTATCATTGTTTGTCCATGAATAGAAAAAGAAAAATATCATTAAGATGTATCCGCGATGTTTGAGAGAAAAAATTCAATCAGTCCTGGGAGGAGCGTGGTCAAGATGTTAGCATACCAGACTATGGATCTTCGGGTCAGTCGTTCACATCTAGTTACCCCAAAAAACAACATTAAAAACTGTGTTCCATATTTTGGAACCGTGGGTACGTTATGAAATAGACTGTCAAATCTTACTATTCGGTCAAATAAGAGTAGCTTAAAAGATGGCGGTGGATGGCGTTGGTTAACTGACTTGTCTCTAGTCTAACAGTTCAAAATTAGAGACGGCTAGCGCAGATAGTTCTTGAGTAGTATTACGCAAACATCTGAATGTTAAAGAGGCGATGCAGTACGTTTCAACACACTAACCACTCAGAAACACGTTTATCTGAAGTAAACAAAATTAAAACGTGACTTCCTGGTAATTAGCACGATAGAACAATAATATTATGGAAATTTATATTTTACTACTTTTTAGATATTGATAAATAGTCTAGTACACTTATTAAAGAAAGCTTTATTTACTTTTATGGTGTGTATGCCTTTTACAAGCTGGTGAAGCGTGATTATCATTACTTATACTTGTCATACGACATTAGTATTAGGCCTATTATAATGATGATAGTAGCTCATCGGACAATACCTGATAATGTTTCTCCACGACGACATTAGGACCGGGCGTGGCCTAGTGGTCCAGGATTCGTAACTTGTTACCGCTGAATACAATCTGCATTTTCAGTTGTAGGCACGTTATAAAGGTGACAGTTAATACCATTATTTGGTGCAAATCTCTCGTAGTAGCCAATACTGCAGGCTATTTTCTCTCTGGTCAGTAGTTCTGAACTTGGGGACTGGTGTACCTAAACCCCAAGGATTTGTGATCAGGTTTTTAACTTACGTGTGCATAAGGTGGCGCTCAGGTTGACAATTACAACCCCAGTTCTGGGACTATACTTCACTTGGTAATATGTTGACGTATAAAGTTTAGTTGCTCGGATCAACTGCAGTTGTAATTGTGAATTTTACTGCTATGATAGATCATTAAGTCAGAATCAAAGCCTAAAACATGCGATCAATAATTCAAGGCCACCTACTACCACTGTGTACTGTCAAAGTGATAAAAGTACGATTAAGTTCTTTGGCACCGAGGCTGTCTCAAACTGTTGTCGTATTCTCGGAAACCATCCAGACTGGTGCCTAGCAATAAACCAACAAAAGGAATGTTCCACGAAAAGGAAGTTTGTTTAAGGAGATTTGTGTTTTCTGTTTTAGTAACAACGTGTATAAAAAACACCTGCAAGCTATGGAAACGCATCTCATTTAATTTCTGTAATAGCACTTTTTACGCAAATTTCTAGGCTTCATCTTGCAATATATATATATATATATTGCTTGAATATTATTGCGCGTTTATTATTTTAATTCAGTATAAATTATATTTCTATCTGAGACCTAGAGAATATGCCAACTTCTTGTTCTAACACCTAAACCTAACATTTCTACTTCCTTGGACGAATATTTCGTAAGTCTTACGCGAACCCTATAGAAAGCGTATCACTTATTTTTGTGAACTACGTTTCACTAAGCATTCTCATGATGTTGTCGGAAAGCAGCATGGGTTGTATTTACGGATTTTTTTCTCACTATTTCCGAGCGAACCGATTGTTCAAAGATTGTGTCTTTTACTCAGTTTTCTTATATATTCTTAGTTTGTGTTATAAATGTATATGTTCTGCTTTTGGTTTCTTGGCTCTAGAAAAAGTTCAAA